TTTTCCTTTCTCTCCTTACTTTCTTTCTTAGTTCTTTCTTTCTTCTTTTTGTCGTACTTTCTCCCGTTTTTCTTCTTCATTCTTTTCGTCCACAAGTTTCCCGTCTCTCTTTCACTCCTTCCGATTCTTTATGTCGTCTTTCTCAGGTAATCATGGGACTCGTTTGCAACCCTCCCAGTCCAGGAGAGGAATCTTACGAACGTTTTACGAAGGTGAGCTCTTGGATACTGAAATGTTTCGCTTCAGAACGTTTACAACTTAAATAGATATTACTATACACTTGGAAGATCCACCAAACAAACTTGCTACTGATAATTTGGTTCATTAGTTGTTGTCGTCGATATACGAAGCTGAACAACTCGGAAAGAGCCGAGTCTCTAAAGAGAAAACACTGCCCATAATTTTTCATTAAAACTGATTTTTTTTTTTTTTCTTTTTTCATTAAAACTGATGAATAGGTCATTTTCGAGTTACCTTGTGTGTCTGTATCAAAACGAGTCTTCGAGCAATACCTCTCATATGAAAGTGAGTGCAATTTGCATGAAAATGAACATGAAGGCGGAACACATTTCCAAGTCTATATGAATGGTTTCACTCGAAGACTCGTTTTGAACTCGGAAGTGGCCTATTTCTTCTCTCTTTAGCAATAAAATGCAGGGGCTGGCCGCTGATGGCGCTAAGCTGAAAGACTCTCGTATTCTCTAGCTGTTGTTGTACAGTTTTTGTGTAAAAGGGGGAACTTATCAACAATAGTGTTGCATGAAACGTTTTTCTTAATCGAAAATGTTCTACACTTTCTTTGCCCATGTGTTTGTTTCGTAGGAGAAGAAGAAAATACAAGATTCCTACAAGAAGAAAGCAAAGTTAACCACAGAAGTTCTCAACTCAATGGAAGGTGTCAGGTGTAATGAAGTACAAGGGGCAATGTACGCGTTTCCGAGGATAACACTGCCAAAAAGAGCCATCGAGGAAGCAAAGGTACCAGTCCCTCCACTCTTGACGCGATTGCGGACGTCTGCGTATGAGACCATGAAGATTCGCTAGTTTACATTCTCTACCAAGTTTTCAGTTGTAAATCGGGATTTTTGTGTTGTCTAGTTATTTCCTCTACGACTTATAATATCATACATAATGATCAACTGGTATTCCTTTAAACAGGATGAAAGCCTCAGCTTACGTAGTCACAAGCCTTCCGACTCACGAAATCAACTTATTTCATCCGCCCATTTTTCCTGCCACCCAAACATTTCACCATTGATGTCGATGTTCTCTTTTAAGGTCCAGGGTATACCGCCAGACGAGTTCTACTGTTGGCAGGTGTTGGAGAAAACTGGAAGCTACATGGCCCCAGGCCGCGCCTTCGATATGAGTGGCAGCGGTAGTCACTACTACTTCCGGTGAGATAATAGAAAACAATATTGCCTACTTATTCATTAGTTCCCTTTACATATTACATATATTCACACATTCATGCAGGCATTTATTCGTTCTTCCGTCCGTCCGTCCATCTGTCTGTCTGTCTGTCTGTCCGTCCGTCCGCTTGTTAGTTCATCCTTCCGTCCGTCTGTCTGTCTGTCCGTCCGTCCGTCTGTCTCTGTCTGTCCGTCCATCTGTCTGTCTGTCCGTCCATCCGTCCGTTCGCTCGTTAGTTCATCTTTCCGTCCGTCTGTCTGCCTATCTGTCCGTCCTTCCGTCCGTTTGTCTGTCTGTCCGTCGATCTGTCTGTTTGTCCGTTCGTCCGTCCGTTCGTTCGTCCACCCGTTCTTTCGTTAGTTCGTCCATCCGTCTGTCTGTCTGTCCATCTGTCCATCCGATCGTTAGTTAGTTAGTTCGTCCGTCCGTCTGTCAATCTGTCCTTCCATCCGTCCATAAGTTCGTTCATTCATCCACGTGAATGAAAGCGATCTATTCACTCTCTTCCCGTGTGGCCTGCTCGTTTTGAGAATAGGATAGGGTTCGCTTATTCATTCATTTTTCATTCTATTTTTATTTCATTCTTTCATCCATTCATTATTTTCTTTTTTGCAGGATAACCATCCTTCCTTCGGAAGACAAGTTCATTCCAATGTTTGAACGGTTGAAAACCTTTCACCGGGATTTTATGACGGAGTACAAGGATTGACTAAGAGATGCTAACACAATGGCCTCGTGTTACAAACATAAAATCAAATTTTATTTTTCATGTGTGATCACTGCTTCTTTGACTAGCTATTTATAAGGGAAAAACCGAGAGGTTCTCGGGATTACTTTTCTCGCCTCGGTCCCCTCTTTTTCCCTCGCTCACGCGGATTCTCCTTTGCCCGTTTTTTTTTTTTTTTTTTTTTNTTTTTCGCTATAAACTATTTATTTAAAAAACATTTAAGGAACTCGGCGCAAATGAGAAGTCTTGGGAGGGAAACCAATGAAGAACTTTCTTTTAAATTGCAGTGTTGTTTAAGGAATGTTTTCGTACTTGATAGCAATGGTGGTAGCATAATGCCCTCTTATTCGGTAGGGTATTCTCTTCGTTACGGTGTTTGCAGAGCAAAAAAAATCCTACCTGGCTCATCGCATATGATGAAAGTTCTCCAAAATTCTTATTGTCCAATACATCAAGACCTTAAGATCCGTATATCCCGCATTTTCATATCACCTCACGCTGGACGCTCTGATAACAACAGGAACGCATCCCCGAGGGAATCTAAAAAGCTCCCTGACAGGTCACCCATTAGAGACCTATAAAGAGACCCTATCAGTTGTTGAGAGACCTAGAGAGGTCACTGGAGAGAAAACTTGATTGGGGCCTTAACAGATTACATGTAACTTAAAAAGAGAGGGTCAACAATGAGAGAAAGTGAAAAAGGTCCTGAGGTCACATCTGAGAGAACCTAACAGGTTCTCATATTCCCCACGGAAATCAAATAGTTTCCACGATTTAGTGTTTGCAAGCCCAATATAAGAGCTGTTCCATCAAATTCAAGAAGGCTTACCATCGACAAATTCTTCGGTAACTTATTTTTGCGGATCGCGGAAAAAGAAGCAAAATAGAATCCGCAAAAATTGCACGCCGCAAGTCACGCGACTGTTCCGGAGCTGCGTCTGCTGCGTGACGTAAGAACTCATTTCCGAAAGGAGAGAAATTTCATTGTACCGCCGTGAGGTCACGCGCTCTATAAAATGTTCAGTAAGCTTGAGTCATTGCAGTTCGTGTTTTCTAAATGACATAAAAACATATTGCACTCGCACTTGTTGGATATGGGCTGATTAAAGCCAACTCGGCGGCGCTGTGCACCTCGTTGCCTATCTATCAGGGACCTTACGCAAAACACAACGGCAACGAGAACGTCACCAAACAGAACGTTTAATGAGCAAAACAATGGCTGTGCACGTGCATTCTAATTCTTGGTACATTTCTTTCCCGTCCTCATCAAAATAGCAAGTGAAATGACCAAATTCTGCGTTGTCTGGAGAACGTGAACCACGCCGGCTAATTTTTCGTATTTCTCAGTTTGGAACTGAACGCATTCGTAGCATAATTAGCAGGGGCAACTATCCAGACACACTGGATAGTTCCACATAAATGCGAAATTCCAAAGTAAAATAGAAACTCATTTTTTAGTAGGCGTCGTCCACGCCGTCGCCGTCGTATATGCGTAAGGTCCCTAATATCAATTCATACCCAACGCGCACTAGTGGAATAATTGTAACCTTTACCCTTGGAGGCCTCACTAAGCAAAGTTGTCATCGATCACTCTTTCACTGCTTGTTGTTCTCGGTTTACGAAGCTGAACAAACTTGGAATGAGAAAACACTTTGTCCATCATCCTCACTAAAATTAATACATTGGCCGTTTTTCTACTGGAGGACGCATTATCCGTCCAGGAGAATAATGCGTCCTCGCCGTTGTTATACTAAAGACGTATTATCCGTCTGGACCAACTTGGGCAAACATTTGTAGTTTGTCTGGTTATGCGTCTCTTGGATAAAGACGGGCGCAAGAAGAGTTATAGCTGAAGAAGAACTATCCTTCGAAATGCGTCTTGAACGACGCACAACGAGAGATAGTTTGTCTGTCTAGACGCATAATTCGTCTTGTGCCCGTCTTTATACTAGAGACGCATAACCAGAAGAACTACAAATGTTTGTCCAAGTTCGTCCAGACAGATAATGCGTCTTTAGTATAAAAATGGCCATTTCTTGTTGTTGTTACGATAAAGTACAGGGGTTGGCAAGGCGCTAAGCTAAAAGACTCTCGTATTCTCTTAGTTCTCGTTGTACAGTTTTTGTGTAAAAGGGGGAACTTATCAACGATAGTGTTGTATAAAAAGTTTTTCTAAATCATATTTGCTCATATGTTTGTCTCGTAGAAGATGAAAATGATACAAGATTCCTACAAAAAGAAAGCAAAGTTAACCACAGAAGTTCTCAACTCAGTGGAAGGTGTCAAGTGTAATGAAGTACAAGGGGCAATGTACGCGTTTCCGAGGATAACACTGCCACAAAGAGCCATCGAGGAAGCAAAGGTACCAGTCCCTCCTCACTTGATGCCATTGCGGATGAGAATGTTTTCAGTGCACATGAGACCATAAAGACTTGCTTGTTTACAGTCTCTTGCAATCTTCTACATGTAAATAGGGATTTCTGTGCTGTCTAGTTATTTTCTCTTCGAAGTTTAATATCACCTACGTCATGAGCAACTGGTATTCTTGCAGATAAGATGATAGCTTCATGCAGCTAACATAGTCTGAAGCCTTCTGACGCAAGACTTATGCCATGTTCCATGCGTGTTGTATCTGTTAACTAAAAATCCAGCTGATACCCTTCCGCGCATTTTCCCTTCACTTAACATTTGATTTCGTTGTTTAAGGTCCAGGGTAAACCACCAGATGAGTTATACTGTTGGCAAGTGTTGGAGAAAACTGGAAGCTACACAGTCCCGGGTCGCGCCTTCGATTTGAATGGCAGCAGTAACCACTACTACTTCTGGTGAGATTGCATTTACTTAGCTTTTTCTTTAATTTCCTTCTGTCACTCATTTCGTCTATTTATCGCAGGATAACTATCCTTCCTTCCTTCCTTCCTTCCTTCCTTCCTTCCTTCCTTCCTTCCTCCTGAAGACAAGTTCATTCCAATGTTTGAACAGTTGAAGAACTTTCACAGAGATTTTATGACCGAGTACAAGGATTTAAATAACTTATTTTCTTTTTCTTGTGTAATCACTGCTCTCCTTTAACTATTTGTGAGGAATCAATCAGAGGGACTCGGACTTACTTTTCTCGCCCCAGTGCTCCTGTTTTTCCCTCGCTCACCGCGTTTCTCCTTCTCCCGATTTTTTCCCTACAAGCTGTATTATTATATATGTTTGACGAACAGGCGAAAATTCGAAAGTCTTGGAAGGAAAACAAAATTATTTTAACTGTTTTAAATTGGACTGTTGATTTTGGAATGTTTCTTTAAAAATTTCTCGATGGGAATGGTGTTATCATTATTCGATAGGGTACTATACCTTCATTACGTTTGCAAGTCTTAATCTTAGAACGAAATTATTCTTAGAGCAAAAGAAAAAATTCGTACGTGGCTCATTACATATGGCGAACATTACTTTTGTATCGTTTATCTGCATTTCACATCACATTGCGCAGGACACGCAAGTGTTCCTAAAAAGTAACATTCTTCTCCTTTGGGCAACGATCTCTTTTTCTTATGCAATCGGGTTTACATTGTCAGCAGAGGTACATAAAAATGAGTGATCTCCGAGGGAATGTAACAAGCGCAGAGTTCACCAGTGAGAGACCGTGATAAAGTTCCTAACAGTTCTTGAGCGAGACCTTAAGGGGCACCGGAGAGAAAAAATGATTGAGACCGTAACAGAGACCCAGAGAGGTCAGCAATGAGAGAGAAAGTGAACAAAGGCCCTGAGGTCACCTCTGAGAGAACCTAACAGGTTCCACAGAAATCAGATAGTTTCCGTGATTTAGTGTTTACGAAGCACAATATGAGAGCTGGTGAAACAAAGTTCAGAAAGGCAAACCATCGATAACTTTATCAGTAATTTACTTGCCAGGTAGCAAAGGAAGGAGACATTACTGAAAACTCAGGACAACTTGACAAGATCTGTAACAACGACATAATATGAAAGAAGGTATGATGACGAAAAAAGGAATGTATCGACAATTTATTACAGTCATTAAATAAAGATAATATGTACAGCAGTTGACTTACGGCTTACAACTCGCACGGAAAGCGCGGAATGGATAAACCAGTAAGCCAATCAGACATCAAAGCAAAAACACGGATCAGTGGAAAGCGCGTGAAGTGACCTGAGTCACGTCACGTTTGGTTTATCAGTTTGCATTTGATTGGTTTCCTACCTATTGCAGGAAAAACATTTTTCCCCTTGAATTAAATCAAACACACAGTAAATCTGCGCTTTTTTGGTTAGGTGTCCAAACTAATTCGCATTTTATTTGCGCCACTTTGCCATCCAATCAGAGGTAAAACCAAAACCAACCGTGACTCACTTCAGTCACTTGCAGAGCGTTTTCCCGTGCTTTGTGCCAGCTAAATATATTTGCTTCGAGTCAGTTTTGATTTGTTTCCTGGATTCCCTGTGCCCTTTGACATTGGCCAAAGTGATTACTTTGGTTTTGGTTAAACTACACTCAATATTGAAACTCGCTCTAGTAAGGAAACCACCTTAACTTACTTCATGGCATATTGAGGTGTATATCCCATTTTCAAAATCGACCGTTAAGAGTAAAAATGATTCGTACATTCCAGAAATAAAAGTAAGCGAGAGGCTTTATGTTGGGTTCCTATGCACTCTTATCTTTCCATGCGACACAAGAAAGATACGTTTCATATCAGCAACAGTTGAACCCCACCACCACCACTCTGTCACAGACAGAAAACATCGGAGACAGCGTCTCATACTGGTGGGTTTGTCTGTATGAATTATCGTTAATTACCTTGATCCTGTCAGTCTGATGTACACGAATCTAAGTCACGGATCGCCGCGACTTAGGTATTCTGGCATAAGAAAATCACTTATTAATTTAGTGGAAAATTATTTCTATAACGGGGTTGCAGTAACCCTTCTTACGGAACTTCTTTCTCTTATTTTTTTTTTCTGTATCTTCTCTTTTTCACTCCCAGTGTGTTTAAAGATTAAAAGTCAAAACTTGATTAAAACGATATATTGCTGAGTGATGTTAACCGAATAAGGCTCTGGTCTTTTAAGCCGGTTTTTGTACAGGTAAGACAACCTCTTGTCTTACTTCCAACATGAGTTCAGACTCCTGCACTTGTCTCACTTTTCATACAGGTTAAACAAGTGATCGATACAGGCTTAACCGGTTTGAGAGCAGCCGTCGGCAGGATCACTACACAGTACCGCACGATTGTAATGGAATAAGGCAGCTGAATATCACCTGCCTTGAGCCGGATTCGCGGAGAAAACAAGCGGACTGTTCGTGCGACATAGCTGGTGGCCCTTCATTTTGTATTTGATGAACCTGGTCAGGTTTACCCTCGCAGCGTCCACCACAGGGAAATGGTCTCCTA